TCTTCGTCGGATGCACGGACGCCACGCACGCGTGCGTGGGCGCCGTGCGTACCCAAATTCTTTCCTAATTCAGCCCAAATTGCCTTGTTTCTATAAATATCACCCCCTAACCCTAATTAAAGGGGGAGCTTAGAGAGAGTGCTTAGCACGAATTTTAGGGGGCTTTTCAGCCTTGTTCATCAATCTTTTGGGATTATTTGTAAGTTCTACCTTTTTAATTAATGACAATTAATTCTTTTCTTCCCAATTCTATTGATTCTTCAATTATGAGTCGGGAGTAGTTTTAATTAGGGATTTGGGATTCATGAAGGGGTTGATCACGATGTATGGCTAGTTTCTTGATGGTTTAAATTGCATGAATGCTGTTTAATTTGTGTTTGAATAATTTAACTGATATCTTTTGTAACCTAGAATGGCCACTAGAATTACAATTGCAAATAGAATAAATTAAGAGAGATCTAATTTGTTCTAGGACACATTCACACACACTTAATCGTTCGCTAAGAGATTAGTAGCGATTAAGGGGCCGTAAGCTCGTTCATATTGGCAATAATTTAGGATTCTGTCCCATGAGAGATCAGCCTGGTCCCCTAAATTATTGTACTCTACGCCGCGAGAGCGGTAAGAATTTAGTATTGATTAGCTAGGCTCAATTAAATTAAATTCATGTAATTAGGCCTGATCTGCCAGAAATCTAATTACCCCGGAATCAATTCCTGTTCCCTTCGTCGTTAATCAAGAAGAACCCAAATCTTTATTTTTATTCGCTCATTCGCATTAGTTTAATTTCCATTCAACCAATCAATCTCGCACGACACATTTATTTTATTTTATTTTTAATCGCTGAATTTAGTTAATCTTTAATTCCCTTTTGTCCGTCCTTGTGGAGACGATACTCGTACTTTCACCACTATTCTACTATTAATTTAAGTGCGAGAAAACTCACATCACTCATTTTGCCTTAGGAGCCTGTTTTTGGGTTTTCATCCCAGCCTCTTTTTTTATCCTCACTGGCTCACTCATCATTTTTTTTTGTCATCGTTGCTTAGGTTACCCATTCGGGTTTTCAACCTAACTGACATTTCTTCTATTTATTGATTTTTTTTCTTCTTTTTATTTTTTTATTTTCTATTATTTTTGAAAGTATAATGTAGAAGAAATACCGTATGTATAATGAAGAGTCTTCTCCCCCACTTGCTAAATCGAGCACTGTCCCTAGTGCTCGTTGTCACCATTTTTTTGGGAGATATGAGGTTGTGGTTTGGGAGAGGGGTTAGGCTTTCCAATAGTTTATGGATGAGAGTGTTTGTGGAGTAAGAGGAAAGTGGAGTAACATGAAGATGAGGGGAACAAGATCATGATGTTTTTTTTTGTGTGGGGTTTGAGTTATTGGGATGTAGAGGAAAGTGATGAGATGAAAAAATGAAGGTTTTGTCTTGATTTGGTGTTATAGAAATGAGGCTTTGGGATGTTTGGGTGAAGGGGACGAGTTTAGGGAAGCTTTGGAGCTCTTTGTTTCGAACTTAAGGTGCTAAGGAAATGAATTTTTCGGGCTGTCCCGACCTGGTTTATAATCTGATTTTAGTGTCAACCCGGTCGGGTTTGGGTGTGACCCGATCGGGTTATGCATACGACACTCTGGTTTTGAAAAAAACTTCTGACCCGGTCGGGTTTATGTTCAACCTGATCGGGTTATGTGAAATTTCAAACAGGTGTTACGTGATCGGGTAAGTGGGGTACCAGATCGGGTTTTTCCTCCCGTACCATCTGATTTACTCTTTTTAAGAATACCCGACCGGGTAAGCAAGGTACCCGATCGGGTTTTCATCAAACCTGCATGTTTTCGTTCCTTTTCACTCTTTTTCCAAAACCGTTAGTGTCCTCGCTCACCACACTCAAAAAACTTCAATGAATAACAAAGCAAGTAAGAAAAGAAAACTACATACCTTGATTGGATTGCCTCCCAAGAAGTGCCTTATTTAACGTCGTGGCACGACGTTATTTTTCTCTACTTCAATCTTTCATGTTCGGGTCATGATGACCCATCCTCTGCACATTTCTACCCCGATGACTCTTATAGAACAGCTCAATTCGCCGACCACCCATTTTGACAATCTTTCCAGGATCAAATATCGGGATTCTCGTTGCTTTATGTTGTGAGAGCGAGGGAAAATTTGTACCGATTGGCATGGTCAATGGAAAGAGTTTTGATCTTGGTGGCATAAGAGGGGGTATCAAATGTTTACTTAACTCCGCTGTCATTTCCTGCATATTTGTGAATGACAAGAAATCCAAATGATACTCTCCCGGTTTATTTGCAACCGCTACAAGTACATTTGAATTACCCTCACATTCGCTGAAGATTTTGTCTTTGTCCTTCTCCACCCTTTGTGTTTCTCTTAGAGCCTCAGGAAATGGTGGCATGATCTCAGGAATGGCCGGTGGTGAAGTTGAATTTTGAGGTTCCTCCTCCTCCGGTTAAGCTTTTTCTGCAGGCTCGTCTTCTTCCTCCTCCTCCTCGCGGATGTAGTTCACAACGCTTGGCATTTGTTTTATTTGATTCTCCAAATTCGATTTGTTGGACACTGTTTCTTGCAGGCATTGTGATATATCTCTCTGCATACTCGTCACGTTGATAGTGAGGCCTCGGACCATGTCTTCGGTACAAATATTATTCATTTTGAAAGCTAATGGCATCGGAAACCTTAATTGTTTAAGCATATGATCTCACCAATATGTTCCCATTCCCTAAGCTGTTCAGTGGGTGGTTAGGATTGGTTCCTCCCATTGACCCAACGAGCACGACATGCTTCACTCCAGCAGCCTTAGCTGTAATAAATTGATCATTACTCAGAATTTGGCCTTTAAATTTGTTCAAATAAAGGTAAAAGAGCAATAAAGTAAAAAGTCATCATCAACCCTAAATTACCTGCATCTATTTGATTCTTCTGCCCAATCCAATCCACCTACATCATTTATCAATCATCAGCAAAGGTTACTGCAAAAAAAGTGAAAGCCCATGCATGCTTGGCAACTCTCTGCTTGCTAACTCGCGGCCTAATTGGGTGCCGATTTCTGATTTGCAGGTATGTCTTTGAAATTTTCAGCATTTTACATTCAATTTTTTTTATAATTCGTATAGTTAATTTTTAATTCTAATTTACGGTTAGGCTTAATTGTACTTTCTGCTTTACTTTAGTTTGCTTTTAGATTTAGGTGAGCATTATAGTGTATTCTAACTTGTACTATTTTATATTTTTAGTCATCTTGATTGCTTGCTTTACTTTATCTTTTTTGCTTTAGCAGCCAATTTGCATGTGTACAAATGTACAATTACATTGATATTAATTAGTATTAATGTCATTTCAATACATATTTCTAAAAAATCATATTACATCATATTCGCGTATTGATATTCATAGGAGTTGATTATAAATATAATTTAAGATTTTTTATAAAAATAAAAAACAAAACAAAAAAATGAATTCAAAAATATGAAACAAAAATCACGATGTTCATTATTAGACTCCTAATACTCAAAAGAGTATGTCTGATGCTTATTAAAATGCATTGATGCTCATTTAATAGAAGACCGGACTTATTCTCGAACTCGTGCGACACTAGCAACACTCACTCAAACTATGCTAGTCAGCCTAACTCTTGTGGAAACTAGGACACCGATTGTGGAGAAACTTGTATAAAGGCTTTATTGCTCTCAAGCTTTCGATGATACAAATGAGCCAGCCATGAGGGGTATTTATACTTATCCTCCTCCTCAATGGACGCGATTTTCACTTAAATTACTAAAATGTCATGGCTGTATGTACTGTGTGCTCCGTACAGTCGGGTGTACGGTACATGAACAGGAGTTTTCCGGCATAGCAGGCATGTGTACGGTTAATCTTATGCATGTAAAAATGTGGGCCTTACCAATGAGTTCCTATCTAATACTCACTCCGTTTCGAAAAGGTTCGCCAAATTAACTTTTCTTGATCAATGACAATCAACTTTGATCAATGATATTTTTTAATACAAAAATATTTAGAGTATGAAAATTATATCAAAATGTTCCTTGTTCAAAATATTTTAATAAAGTATGAATTTATAAATTTTATACAAATATGGTAATTAAAATCATTATCCAAAGTTCGTCATCATTGATCAAGAAAAGTCAATATGACGAACTTTTTCGAGAAGGAGGTAGTACTCCGTATTAATAGAGATGGGAGCGCGCCGTCGCTTTCAAATGCCTAATATCCCTTTCTAATATGAATATTTATTTTATTTATTTTTTATTTTGGTAGAAAGGAAAGACATTTCTACTCAAATGACTAGTATTCCTAGCTAATTTATCGGTTAGTCAACCACACCAAATTCCTCCTAGAATTCCTTTCTAAATTACATAGAAATTTAATTTCCTTTCCCCTTCCACTCTATTAGGACCTTTTCTAGTAGTGCCTAAACTTGTCTCATATCACAATTGATCATATTTGTGTGATTCTAATTTATTGTTACTTTATTTACACTTAACTAATTTAATATTAGCTATATAACTTTATTTTTGTTAAAAACCACACATCACTTCCTTTTGCCCCAATCTTAGGGGGGCGTAGTAATCTTACATTGAGTATGTTATTATTTTGCTCAAGTATGTAGTAAAAAATTCTTACACCTAACAAAAAAAATTTATACTAGTTCTAAGAACATCATAAAAAAAACTATTGAGTAGCAAAAAATTCTTACAGCTAACAAAAAAAACCTGTTAAATAAATCTAATTTGTTTCTACTTTTATATGTCTAGGAGTCTAGGACCCCTAAGGCAGGCCCGCAGAAGCAAGAACTTATTCATGTGCTTGGATCATTGCCTCTTGAAGAAGCAATCCCTTTCCCAAACTAGACCCTCAAATTTGAAACTCATTATTGCCTATTCGTAAAGTATTCCCTCCCCAATGCGTATAAATGCTAACACATATTCAATCAATAAACCACATTATGTTTTGTTGCCTACCATCTAAAGAGAAGAAAACACATATCACCGGCACAGAAGTAGTTGAAGAAAATCAATTCACTAAAATAGTTTATTTGCAAAAGGAACACAACATGGGTTCAACCACAGGAGTTGGGAAGTGGAAGAGGGATACTCCCCCATCTGACTTCATTTTTATGATACGTTCCTTTTCTCAACTGTCACAATCTGGAATTGAGAAACTTGAATCTGGAGTTTTTCAAACGTGTGATAAAAAATGGTACCCATCAACTATTTATTCGAAGCAATTTAATTTTTACATATCACGTACTCAGGGGCGTAGTCAGGGTAAGGCCTCAGCCCGATCTGGACGAGGCCACCCAAATTTAAAAAGTGCCTATATTAATATGTTGAAAAAATGTGTAGAAAATTATAAGAAAATCAAAAGTTCTTTTTACCAGCCCATCCTAGTATTTCTCTGGCCACTACACGTCGTACTCTAATCTGACCATTTTTTATCTATAAAATAATGATGAATACATGATTAAAACAAAGATATAGTAAATAAAATTCTGACTTTTAATATTTTCAATTTTTATAAAAGTAACTTAGTGATCATGAATAAGTTCAATTTTATAATTTAATAGCCATGGTTTTATAAACATCCCAATTAAATTAGTTACATTTTTATCTACAATTTTTTAAGTAATGCTTAAAGAAAAACCTTACTCCATATTATTTATCAGTACAAAAATTAGACCATGTAAAATATTGTTAAATTAATGAGGGTTTTTAAAAATATTACTAAAATGAAACTTAATTATAAAATATGACTAGCTAATTGTTACTATAGTTTTGTCCATAGTCACTTAAGTAAAAAAATTGAACATAAGCTACTAGATCTAATTAAGTTACTATTATAGTCGATCACTGCACTTAAGGAGGTCATATTTTTGTAAACATCATTAATTTTAGTTACATAATGAATTAATTAATTAATTAATTCTAAATGAATTAATTAGTTTCAACTTAAGTTTGAAGTATATGATTTTTATATATACTCAATGAGAAAAATTGCTAATTATTGCAACACATTTTCACAATGACGTAGTATATGAGAAGATTTTTCAATATGACCAAAGATTAACATGAATGATACATGTATATTTTCCGAAATAATTAATTCTACCATTATGTTTTCTTGAAATATGATTCAATAACTTCTAAAATAAATTTTAACTGCATTTTATTCTATCATACGTAGCAGATCATAACGTCTAAATAAAGATTTTAGCTGCTTTATTCTTTCATAAATAACTCATACTGCACACATGCCCTCAGGAAGTTATGTGTTCATTATCACAAAGGGAATAAGAAAGCAGGCGATGAAGATGATGACGGTCGCATCTCCCTCTATTTACAAATGGTTGAAACTGAAAGTCTTCCTCGGGGATGGGAGGTTCATGCAAAGTTTAGTCTCTTTGTTTACGATCAAGTCAATGACAATTATTTGACCGTCCAAGGTATGTTGGCAGTGTTTGTGTTAATTTTATCGTTTGCCCTTCTACTTTAAAAAATGATTCTTTGAAATATTTGTAGAGAGTATTTATTAATAAAAGTTGGTAGTGATTGAACATTCGAAAAAGTAAAAATTAGTAGTGTTTGAAGTTTTCAAAAAGTAAAAATTGGTACTGTTTGATAAAAAAAATGTTTTTGTATACCCGCAATAGGAAATGTGAAAAAGAGTTTGAAACATCCTTCTAGTGTTTACAACTTTTGAAGAATATTTTCAAAAATTTGCTAGATAAAGTATTTAATAATAAAATTTGGTAGTTTTTGAGCATTCAAGAAAGTAAAAGTTGGTAGTATTTGTACTGAAAAAGTAAAAATTGATATTTTTTGGTAAAAAGGGTTTTTGTATACCCTCAATAGAAAACGTGAAATGGAGTTTAAAGCATCCATACTGTTTCGAAAATTTAGCAACTCAATTTGGAGGATAACAAGTTTTACAAAACTTAACCATTATATTGTATTTGAGATCCATATTTATTTATGATTGCGCGCGCACACACACACACACACATATATATATTTAATTAATAGAAATTTCTTTCATATTGATGGAAATGCATAGATGGTGGTGGAAAAGTGAGGCGCTTTCACTACATGAAAACTAAATGGGGTTTGGATGAATTACTTCCATTGTCGACTTTTACCAATCCATCCAATGGGTATCTAGTCGATGACACTTGTGCATTTGGAGCTGAAATTTTTGTACTTCCAAATTCTACAAAACGTGAATGCCATTCCATTGTGGTGAATAAGGATCCTGAGCAAAACATTCACACTTGGAAAGTAAGCGGCTTCTCCTCTATAAAGACGGAATTCATTACTTCTAATGAGTTCCTCATTGAAGGAATCAAATGGTAAATATATGCTCTCATATTGTGGTCTATATTATTGAAATTTCGTATCTCAAATTGGTCTATCTTTTTCTATATCTGTATTTGTAATATTATCTTTATGTGTGTAGGACATTAAGGCTATATCCCAAAGGGTACTCAACGGCGAAAGGCCAAAGTTTGTCCCTTTACATGGCATTGACCGCGGCTGAGGATGTTAGTAACAACCTTGGTACTAAATTGTTCGCAAAGTATAAGTTCCGGATATGCAATCAACTCAATGCACAACACCATGAATCTTCAAGTGGTTAATTTCCTTTTCCACACTTTCAATCTACATTGCTTTAAACATTATTTTTATAATATTAATTAATTATTATTACTCCATATTATTTAATTCCTTTTAGAACCCATTTGGTAATGTTGAAAGTGGCTGAATCCGTTGAGTCGTGAAAAATAATTAATAAAATAAATATAGGCATATGAAAAATAGCTAAAATGACTCTCTACAATAACTTCATCCAATTCAGGCACAAAAGTAATTCCAACCTGCTTACTCATTTTGATTATAATACAATTTAGCGCACAAAATAAAAAATTACGTATTTGATAATAAGTTACTTGAAAACAGGAGTCACCAAACGAGCCCTTATTATTAGTATTATTATGCTCCAAAAATAAGTACTCTGACTATTATTACTCCATCCATCTCAAAAACTTTGTTAAGCCTGACTGGCGTATGCAATAATAAAGTAAAATTTATGTGGTTGACGTTTATGAAGAGATGAGTGAAGTAACAAAACTTACAAATTACTCCGTATTTCTAAAAGGGAAAAGTTGTAAAGTTATTGGGATTATATCAAAATGGAAAAAATTGCAAATTTTAAAGGATAGAGATAGTAGTACTGTTATTATAATTTTTTTATCCCTGAAGGTAAACCACTAAAACTAGTACTGTTATTATATTGTTAAGTATTATCATGCAATCATGCATGATGAATTGATGATCATATTACTGTTATATTGATGTACAATCCGGCCATTACCATATATCTAGCTCTAATTATTGTTATACTACACATGTTTCTTGCATGCAGTGGAACATGTTTTTGACGACCCCAAAGGGCCTTTCTATGGCTCACATAAATGTATGCCCTTGAAGATGTTGGAGAGTACATCAGGAGGTTTTCTGGTAAATGACACCCTGGTTGTACAAGTTGAATTTCTACTTCTGTCTAGGGTTTCTGATTTCTAGACCATCAATGGCAGATAATAGAATAGTACGTGCAATACAGCCGGAATGATTAATCATATTAATAATTATATTAGTTAGTATGGACTGTTAAAACTCATACCAGTCATGTGTATTTCACGTTGCTTATTCATGCAATGTATATGGTGTAAAGAGTAAATGAAAAATAAATACTCTTCATTTACTTCATCCATGCTTGAGCAATATAATTATAAAGCGATAATAATAAAGAATGACTATCTTCATAAAAATATACGGATTAAAAACTTATGTGTAGTGTATGTTGTTGGAAATAAATTGATAAAGAAATTCTACACTTGATAAATTATACCAAGTTTTGATGTCAAAATAGAAGCTACAAACAAATTCTCTCGTAATAACTAATATGAGAAGGAAGAGTTAACAAAATGCAATGCATATTAATTAATGAAGAGAAGAGGCATATATATATATATATATATATATATAGGTTTTGGTTCAAATAAGAACATGATCTTAGGAGAGAAATGAGAATAAATATGGACCGTTAGATTTGCTTTAAGTGAAATTCAATGTGCATTAGATGAAACCGTAATGTGCATTAGGTGAAATTGAAATGTGCAACACAAATGGTACGATACAGTGACATTATGTGAAGCTAAATTGTGCATTAGGTGAAATTGAAATGTGCACTAGGTGAAACTGAAATGTACAGAATAAAAGGTACGATGTGATGTTATTTTTGTACCTTTTATTCTGCACATTTCAGTTTCACCTAATGCACATTTGAGTTTCACCAAGTGCACAATCCAGATCGACATAAAACAATCCAAAGGTCCAGATTTGTTCTCATTTCTCTCTTGGGAGTCCGTTCTTACCGGAACCGCTCCCTATATATATATATATATATATATAGCTTTACAATAATTCCTACATGGGAAGTGGGAACATGCAAACATTCTAAGTAACCACCCACTAAAACAAATGCTTGACTTCAAACATTCTAAGTAACCACCCACTAAAACAAATGCTTGACTTCAAACTAATACCATTAATTTAATAAATTAATTAACATATAAACCAAACTTAAATAAAAACTCCACCCATGCATGTCATACCGATTAAATCCAACATATGTGTACGAATGCACATGCATTTCAATATCATCTGATGCACATTTCAGTTTCACCAAGTGCACAATCCAGATCGACATAAAACAATCCAATGGTCCAGATTTGTTCTCATTTCTCTCTTGGGAGTCCGTTCTTACCGGAACCGCTCCCTATATATATATATATATATATATATATATATATATATATATATATAAACAATCCAATGGTCCAGATTTGTTCTCATTTCTCTCTTGGGAGTCCGTTCTTACCGGAACCGCTCCCTATATATATATATATATATATATATATATATATATATATATATATATATATATATATATATATATATATATATAGGGAGCGGTTCCGGTAAGAACGGACTGGAGTTGTACGTGCCTCAAAATAAATTCAACACTAACACTTATACGTAGTATAACGTAGTAGAGTTCGTATCCACAGTGAAAGGAATACTTTTCTTTTATGAAACTAGTAAATAAAAGGGAAGTTTTGGGATTGTATGATTTAATTTAATTAAACACTAAGATGAACGACTTAAATATGTTTTAATTCAAAGATATAAAGAACTTGACTTTGCTACTTTCCACTTGTTGATATGTTTGTTGATCCCAGTTATATCTATAACTTATCCCCTCTCGAATACTCAATCGAGGAGTATCTCCATATCATCGAGGGTAGTTATTAACAACGACCGCTCATTAATAACCCTTACTATTAGCCAAATATAGAACACTGCCATATACTGACTTGATAGTAGCTTTTAATCCCTTAACTCCTTGATGAAATCAATTGAGATTGATAACTTCAACATAACGGTTTCGGTTTAACTAATACAATTAATCCCTCTTAAGATTATTAACCACAACCGTGCATTAATAATCCGAAGTTACTTGTGAAACCATCAATGATTAACCATCGATTCATTGATCGTTTCTAGTAGTAATTAATGTCAAGATGTTAACTAATTGCCATCTTAGCAACACTCCCCAACATTAATATAGAGATGGAATAAGGGAAGAATTATTATTCAAGGGAAGAAGTAAGAAAATAACTCACAACTTTAACATTCAACAAGCTTCAAGAGAAAAACCAAGAAAAGGAAGTTTAGCTCCTCATTTGGAGACTAAACATGCTACAAAAATATAAACAAAATACTATTCTAAGTTGAGCTTAAGTATACGAAAGAAGGGATGTTTAAAAGTTGGGGAAAATGGGGTTATTTATAGGTGTTTTCAACACCTATGGCCGGATACTCGACCGGGTATTTGACATACCCGACCAGGTATTTGTCAAATCAAATCTTTTTGCCACATCTTTGTGGTCTTCTGCACGTCTTTTTGCCCGAAATCACTTCATACCCGACCGGGTATATGGAATACCCGACCGGGTATTTGTTAGTTTCATAGCAAATTCCTCTTTCTTTTCATACCCGACCGGGTAAAGGTCATAGCCGACCGGGTTTTGCACCAAACTCAGGTTTCTTCATCCTTTTTTGCTTCCAAACTTATCTTAAATTTATAGCCCAACTAACTACTTCTTACAACATACAATTAAAAGCTAAAAAATAAAATTACAATCAAATACAAACTAACTACAAACTTCCACAAAAATGGAAAATAGACATCACAAACGAATATAAAAATGTATACTTATGCACTAATAATTAGTGCTTATCATGCACTAAATTACATTCTAGTTTTCTTACTGTGTACTAATATGTATATAAAATTTACTTAACATAGTATATACTGGAGTATATGCGTTCTAACAATATGTATATAAAATTTATCTTGTATGTATATGTTAGCTATATTTGTATTTAATGTGTAAGTTAGTTATAGATATTTCTATAACTTATACTATAATTTGTGTAAAGTATTCATTTTTACCTAATCCTTTTTTTATATTTGTAATTCATATGTTAATTTGTTAGAGTGAATCTTTCAATTTTAGTAAAACATATGATAAATGGAGCAATGACCTTGACCAGACTTACCCTATTCGAATCCAACCTGACCCGATAGACACCACTTATAGCACCTCCCTCGAAATATGGTTACGCCCTTGATCATAATATGTGCAATTCATTTCATAATCATTACACTTCTTGTCATAATCATTGCATTTTTTTGTCAAATTCACTACATTAAATAAAAATTATTTACTTCAAAATTATTTACTTCGTTTACTACTCACTATCCTATAATTCACTGCACACAAGTTTCAATAGTCTTCAATTTTGGGATTGTCTTCGGCCGACTTAAACCTTGGGGGATGGAGGCGGGCGGCTAGAGGCTTGAGTTTGGAGATCAAGCATGGTGTGGGCGGGAAGCCGAGCTGGAGGCAGACATCGGATGGTTAGAGGCTGGAGACAGACGGCTAGGTAGTGGGAGGTTGGAGGCGGGAAGACTTGACGCGGAAGGAGAGGTTGTAGGGGGATGGCTGGGCGTGCGGTTGGATGGCTGGGCTACACGAAGGCTGGATGACGGGTTGCGTGATTGACGCTGGAGACTGAAGTTAGAACTTTATAATAATAATATAAGGGCATACTCGTCAATCAATATAAATTATTATTTTTTCTTTATTAATATATTAATTAAATACTATGAATTAAAATACTACCTCTGTCCTGTTGAAAAGCTCCTATTACAAAATGACACATTTATTTAGACAATAATTAATGAATGTAATTCGAGTATATTTTGAAAAATAATTTTAATAGATATATAATATAATGTGGTTAGTGTTAATAATTGTAATGTTAAAAACGTATTATTTTTAATATTTAATTATTAATTTGTTATTTAAAATTTTTAATTGTTACCTAAAATGGAAATTAAATTAGAACCTTTATATGAAACGTTCGAAAAAGTAAAAAGAGATTTTTTTTTATGAGATGGAAAAACTAATATTTTGGGAAAAAATTAATAAGGTTATAGATTGAGAAAGTGAATGAGTTTTGCCACCACCACCACCACTGTAACACCGGACCCGAATTTTACCCCGTGAATTTTTGTTTTCGTCAAGTACATGGTTAAATAAGGTAAATCAAGGCTAAGAGTAGTCTTGATAAATGAGAAAGATAAAATTCTTGTCATAAATTATTAAAGGTTATTAATCATACGTAGGACCCACGTAGAGGAGTAGGTGTAGAACCACCTCCGAAAATGTTCACTTATAACGTTGGGTAAATTAGACATAGCACCTCGATAAAAGGTGTGGTAAATTTATTTTTATTGATTAACTTTTATTGTGTAGTAAAACTACGCGTAGGACCCACATCGGGAGCACCGACCACCCGTGATATAAAGAACGACAACCGGATGGCCGAGTGGGCCGAAGTCACTATTAATTTTCGATAATTGTGAGCCCTTAATTATCGGACTGTTAATAATTCAGAAGACTATGAATGAATAACGGAAGAAATATAACTATTTAAAGAACCCCAAATAATGAGATGAATATATATGATTAATTAATACATTAGAGGAGGGTACTTTTGGAGGACGCTACCTTGAAGATATTTTGGTATAAGAACAAAAAGATAAGATTTTATGTGTTCATACACTCCGGATCGCTTAAAAAGAAGTGCAACATTTTATTAAAGTGTCACAAAATATCAAAACACATATTAAGTCATGAGAAATGACTAATGAATTTACGAGATGATGCGTTCCCATTTTTATTGTTACTTGAAGAGTAAAATTTCACGTTGGGCCTACACTAAGAGCGGGGACCATCCGATATTTTCGTGACCACATATTATATTCATCTTGGACTAAATAATATTTATATGATGGTTTATATTCGGGTTTAGCCATAGAGTTGCACTAGTACAAAAAAGGCTTTTCACATCGGTCAAAAAAGGCTTTTCGCATCGGTCAAACAACCGACGTGGTTCCAGCCCATGTGAAAAGTATGGACTTTTCACATCGGTCAAACAGCCTGATAATCATGTAATTTCCATGTGTATGTTTGTATTTTTAATTAGTTTTGAGTGATTTTTACTTTGGAAATTACACACTTTTGGTGTAATAGTTTAGTTTGTTAAATTCTTGTAAATTGTTTAGATTAGGTTTATTCTGAGCTCAAACAGGTCTTGATCAACTCAAAGGACAGTTGGTGAACCCCAAAA